TTACACTGTCAACAGAACCTTTCTGCGTCTTTCGATGATGTGTATAGTGGGTAAAAGCAACCCTAAGTATAGAGGCCGGCTTACGTAGGCGACAGGCAACTTGTTCAGATATAAAGTATCAGCGGTCCTTATCCTGCTTCCCCTTCTAAGCTTCATCGTCTCTGTCTTGATCAAGTTTACGATCAATCTCAAGTCTGTGACTGCTGAGTGGAGCCAGGTTAAAACTTTCTGCACTCAGAGCCTGTTCGACCCATAAGTTGTCTGTATACAAGATGACTCCGATGTTCTTGGTCTTTTATTTGATAAGAGCAGCGCTTCAACAAAACAGCGAACAAGAGATGCCCTTCCTGAGTTAGGCAGGTTATCTGTGTAAAAGTGGAAGTACGACCACTCCGTCGTCGATGGTTATTCTGTTCTCCTGTAAAATCGCAGCAAGAAAGTTGAGCAAATTCATAAAGACATTTACCTAGCCGATAACATTACCGAGCCTAACCTTGTCCCTGAGGCCCCGCCTGAGCGCAGAGTCTAAGGCTGCCTTGCAGTCGACGAATACAGTATAGAACGAATTGCAAAGCATGGCCAGTGTTCTCTCGATGTCGGCCATCAGGCACTCTGCACCCTGTTTCGGTGGAACGTTCTCTTCGGAAACCATGTTACTCGAAATGGTGTGTACGATTTCTAAATAGCAGTCTCTTGATCAGCAAGCCGGGGAGGAGCCCATAACAAACACTTTTCTTCACTCTTCGCCGCCATAATGACGATGCGCTGGGGTTGCCTTTCCCTTTGAATTACTGATAACGTGTCATTTCTCCACTGGGCTTTGAGTTTACTGGTATGTAGACGTTTATTATTTAATGCCGTCCAGTACAGAACCAGAACGACGATGCATTTGAAATTTTCGTTGCAGACCCCGTCTGGACCTATCTATTATTGCCTAGGCTACCAAGGCCTTATAGTATATCGTGTTGTATTGGGATCTCCTCTTCCCATACTGTGACGAAAAGGTATATTGCAGGTGGTATCGTCTCCTATGATGCTAGCGTCTCCGGGAAGTGGTCTATGAAAAACAAGCAACTAATCGGGCAAGTCACCGGACTATCGTAGTACGTTAGCAGTTTGTACGGTTGTGGTTCTACGTCGTTAATTAAACGGGTCTCCGATTATTTAAGGTATGATTTCTTTTGTGACGCATAAGTTTTTCGATACTCTTAAAAACAGAGTTAAAGGGGAGAACTCAGGCTATACCTTAGCTATAAGCCTGAAGGTCTGTTGGTCCTCTAAACAAGGTTATAAATATCAAGAAGATGGAAATACTGTACTATACGCTGAATTTCAAACAGATGTTGTGCATAGATTTCGGAATTCACCGACTTAGGGACAGCGAGAATTTCATAGGTACGTTCTAGAAGAAAAAGTTTATTATGTTGACTTGTTGAAGCTCGTCTGGTTCATACAATTTTTTTGAGCTTATCTAATTTTGAGAATTTTACAAGCGTTGAATACATTTTACTTCTATAAAAGAATAGTTTTATTCATAGGCACAATAATGTAGTTTACTTAATAATCGTGTTAGTGACTAAACATGTCTAATGCTTTATGTCGTTGCATTACGAAGTCCATCTAATGGTTTAGTAGAACAAAAAAAGTATCACTTTTCTATAGAAAATAAAAATGCTTAGTGCAAAGTAATAAATATAATATGCACATTAGTCAACATTGTTCCGTTCAATGACATATTAAATGGCAATATATATGAGGCGCGCACAAGCAATGCATAAAGCTTTTGTAGAAAACGTTTCTAATCATTTCAGCACAAAAACTTGTTAGAGATACTTAGGGCAATTATGAAGAACAAAATTTTCTAGAGATTCAGTCCAACAGGACTAATGAATGCGCTTAATAGTGGCAGAGTTAGCTAATCAGCGCAATAAACCTTACTCCAATTTCTTTGTCACCAGAAAAATTGTTACGTTTGGCTTTATAGGTAGCCAGTAGCTCCGTTTCGTTGAACTCTACCACGTTCACGTGCTACACACGCAAATATTATTTAAGTAAAGCCCTTAGAACCGACCAAACTTATAATCAACATTGCCGGCTAACCTGGGACGTTACGTCAGTTATATAGACTTTTTTAAGAATAATTGTGATTCTTCAATGGTACAGACTTTCTGACTACCACCGGTGAATTGTTAGTGTACCGGCAGTAACCACTATACAATTGCAGCTCCCGCTCTAATTAGGTAAGGTCACCTAAGCCTGTGTGGCTAGTTGTCCTTTAGTCGCTGGTTCCCCTGACCGGCGTCGCTAAGCGCCTGAGAGCGGCCAAGTCGAAGCACCGAACCAATTCTATAACGAACTGTCGTAGTTCGAATAATGGGTCTCTTGGACCCATCCAAACGGTCAAGGTTGCTCATTGGACATATGCTCGGACCAGTACGACGCTTACGTTTAGGGGAGGGTGCCATATGGTGTGGTGTGCCGTAGCAACGTTCTCACCTTCTCCGTTAGTCTATTCCACTGCTAGCCACGTCTGAGGGGACTGCGTACAACTGCGATGACTTCTGGTCAGTCTGTTATAAACGCAAACGGGTTAGGACAAATCGGCGAAGTTCTGTCAGGCGCATCATTTCTAGAGCAGCCGCCCGACGCCGTGCCTGATTTCAACTAAGCCTTGTCCAGTGTCAGATAGCTTTGTAGAAGACGTTAACTCTTCGAAAAAAGGAAATGTTCGCAGGACTAGGCCTCTAGGACGAGTAAATGTGCGCGTGCGAAACTATGTGCAATGTAGAACCTCTGTACTTCGTTCAGCGCGAGGTGTTGTTTGAGGATAGACGAATATGGAGCTATTTCAAGAATTATACGTATATATATATATATATATATATACGTATAATTCTTATATATAATACGTATAATACGAATATATATATATATATATATATATATATATATATATATATATATATATATATAATATGAAAGTAGAAATCTGTCAAAGAGCCGGTAAATTTAGTTTGTAAGACCTAGTGTTCATCTATAGGAGAATTCTGAAAGAGGACCACAGCAAACGGCCACGTAAGGGGGTGTTACCACGCCACCCGAAATGCGGGCGTAACATTGAAGACTTATCATTTTTAGGCGGTCTCAGTTTAGAACTCAGTTATTCCATAAAGTTTTAGGTCGAGTAAACCGTTTGTTTATGGTCGAACATTAGGGTATAACCGGACGGACTAACAAGCAGAACGCTACAGACCTATCTGAACGACATTAATGGAACCGACGAACGTACGATGAATCTGAAAGAGTGAAAGCCTGGTGACTCGTTATCACTAAACGGAAGACATTCATAGCAACCTAAATGTCAGACAGTAGGTATTGGTTTAACTAATGGGCAAAAACGCTATCTATCAACTTAGCGATAACTCTTTTTACATGTGTCTAGCTTTATAATAACGACCAAGGATAATTTCTCAAAATAAATGTATAAAATGTTGTATAAATTTAAACAGCCCAAAAAGTTTGACGCTCGATACGTTTTCAGGCATCGGTTTTGATGATTTGGTTAATCTATGGCTTGCCAACGCCACTTTTCAGTCAAGAATTTCCAGTTATGATGAAACTGCCCAGATAATCTTGATCTAGCTACGCTGTAAATAGTCGGCGTGACACGCTTAGTTAATGAATTATACTAATGAGATAGTTTTTTGTGCCAGGTCGGCGGATCAGCATAGACTTTTGAACTACATAGAACCTATTTTCAATGCAACACTGGTTGATATAAGATTTCGCTCTCTTTCTCGACAACAAGTCAAACAGATCTAAACATAAACAGATACTTGTTATTCCAGGCCACGATGGCTGCAGCCTTTCACCTTTGTTATTGAATCTACCGCTATTGATCGTAAAATAAGCCCTTATAATTTTATCGGAGACCTAGCTTACACGTTTGGTGTGCGCTTCTCCTAAACATAGAAATCTTCACTCACTCTTTCGTTTAAAAGTATAGATAGTACAAAATGAATAGCCTTCGTGCAATACGCCCACCTCAACATATCCAGACTGACTAGTTCCGATCTATGAAATTTGGTTTGCCTAATTAATGAACCCTCACATGCTCACATTGGTTCTTACTATAACTCGTATCTTGGAGCGACCCGTTATTGCTTAATTTTGAATGACTTACAAACTGCTAAGACTATAAGCTGGGCGAGAGTAAATCTCGAGTGAAGATGCTCGTGGCTATTGCAAACATGAAACAAGGTTTGACTGACAGAAGATAAGTCATCTTTTACTATTAAACACAAACATCCGCCCGTTTCGTATCTATAGCTTTGTATCTGGAGTCCGAAAGCTCGACCAAGGTTGTGGCAAGAGTACTTATCGTTTTCCCAGCTAAATGGATTTGAAGGCTCATATCTCGGGCGGTCTGAACGGCGCCGGATCGGTGTGTGTCATTTGAATGTTAAAATTTGACAGCAGTAGCATGGCTAACGTTGTTGGAACCTTTTTGTTCAGACTGATGACGAAGCGCCTTGAAGAGCAGTGAAATTTCTGCAAAGATGTTTGTTTTGATTGTTTTATAATTTTGTTACAGTGGAGCCACTAATGTTTTCTAGGCTCGTAAAAAATTGTGCTGCTTATTACGGCGAAGGCTGTCACCTGAGCAGTTATGATATCGTTAAGAAACTATATATACACCGATTGGCGGGAGGCTTTAAATCGTTGGCTAAAATGACTGGCAAGAGCTCGATGTTGCACGAAGTGACGTAAATAGATGTCTTCAATCATTTGCGGAACTTTGCCGTTACGAAATCCGGCCATTTCTAAAGCGATTCATTGCAGGCAATGAAAAGGGAATCACGTGTGACAGGAGAAATTGCATCAGAATGGTGCTGGCGTGGTTTAAAAACAGATATGGCAATAGTAGATACGCTAAAGCTACTCCAGTGCTTTCGTACAGACTTAGGATAGAACGTTTCGATAACGAGTGAAAGGTACGCGATTCGTTATATCTTACAATTTTATTATGATATACGCATAAATGCTGCTATGGCCGTAGAATACTGATGCTGTTTAGAGTCAGGATTCGGTATCGGAAAGTACGGCCCAAAGGTAGATTTTTACTGTTATAATTTCGTAGAATTTCGATATAGTAACTGCTTCACATAGTGGTCGACCAATCACGAAAAGTTGATGAAATCATTGTGAAATCCGAGCAAAACTGCAAAGGAAATCTGAGATATTTGAATAGCCATAACATTGCCAGGGAACTAAGCATGCGCCACAAGCTGGCTTTAGACCATTCGAAGTAAGCTGACCATCAAAAGAAACAACATGTTTGGGTGCCGCATTAATCGGCGCAAAAGAGTTTACTCAAAGGTATTTACCTGCGAAAGTCTACAGAAATGAAATGAGATCGAGCCATTACTAAAGCAATATGTCCCGGATGATAAAAAGTGAATCATACAAAAAGGAGCCGTGTTCCAGAATCTGTGCCAAAAGCAAGGCAGACGCCAAAGATGTTTGGTCACGACTGATTGATTTACACTGTCAACATCTATCTCGATTACGATGAGGCATCGAATACATCTACCGGAACTAGTGAACAAAAGGGGCTTCGTCTTCCGCCATGACCGTGCCAGGCCACACACACACATAGCTAGCCGGCAAAAATTGAGAGAACTTTCATGGGCAGTTTACATAGTGAGTAGATCAGATTTTGCGCTATCATCTGCTTGATCTCTGCGAAATTACCACGAATTACATTATGGTAATTCGTTTTTCGGCTTCGGCTCAAAAACTGTTGATGCTTTTCCACAAACCTATGTTACCGGTTCAATAGGCAGCATTAGTGCTTGCATCGATCGAGCAGGAAAGACGTGGCCGGTAAATGGGCACACTGGAGGGCTTGTCGTCTCTGGAGATCGTAAATGTTACGAAACGGAATCTTTATTCAGCGTACCTGGTGGCCGTAACAGATGGAAGGAACATAGCCTGTCTGATTAATTCTTCTTCGATTACGAAACTCGTATGAGAATGTACGAGTGGAACTAATAGTAATAATAATAATAATGGCCACTTCCATATGTGTCAGCAAATCTGTCGCGTAGCTCTCCTCAACTACTGGAAGCCTTTATATAACTTTCTTTGTATAAAGTAAATATGCTCGGTGGCTTTGGAGAAAACGAATTACTGAGTGAAACAGCTTGCCCAAGAGAGCATATCATAGATTCAGTTTGTGTTTTTCATTTCAGTCTATTTTTGCCTGCGACTTCCTGAAAAATCGAAGACTATCGACTACCCCGTTCACAGGCCTTTAGAGCGGGCAGGGATGTGTGATTAATGACGACGCATAGCATATTGCGCCTCACGACGGACCGTTGACGCAGATGAGACTCACACTTCCCATAATGGCGCGTAAGGCTTTTCGTTGGTCTGCTATGGTACAGTTAGACTATCGGCCGTCTCTTCGTTCCAACGCTGATTTCTCTCTTCACTGATCCCCTATCCGCAAACTCGCTGATGCAGCCAACAAGCAACCAAGCGTAAATTTAATCGGTAATAAGCGATGAAGCCAGACGTTACCGAAACAAGCGGATGCCGAAAGCAGTCCTAGCAGTTATAGAACAAGCAGACACAGGGCCCTTGGCTACTCTAGCCTAAAGAAGAAAAAATAATAGTTAACAACTTGTTAATCGTATTCACCATGTACATAGAAGTATCGGATTGATCACTTTACCCAAAACGCAGCGATCTGTTCGCAACCTAACGATAAATTAATGTATTATGTATGCGCTATCGTTCTCTATAGCCTTCTCAGTTCTCCAGATCAATTTATTTATCCCATTTAGCCAGAGGTTTGCCAGAGGCCAAGTTTTTGCCAATTTGATGTGTCAATGATTGAAAAAAGTCCTAATCCATAAACGAGAGATCTGAAGGATGTGATGCACGCAGAACCCTTCAAAATGGTTCTAGCACCCTTAGCCGTGTCTAGCCTGGCATAGGCTAGAAAAGTATGGGTCTGCCTTGTTTGCCGCACCTCGTTCAATCTGTCTTGTTCTTTTTATATAGTTCCTTCTATGTAGGCCTTTTCCAACTCTACCGTTTTCGGTCATTTAAGAATGAAGATTTTGTTCAAGTCTGGGTTTGGGCAGATCTTTCGAAGGTACCCACTGCTTTTTCCACTTCATACTTTACATAGAGATTTCACCCTTGGTCGCTAATAACAGTTCTGTTATTATGGCTGCATGCTATCCACTGCCGAGCGAGATGTGGAAAAACGATAAAGAGCTGCGTCTTGTGTTTTTGGCTCGGAGCAGCCAGCTTCTCAATTTCTAAAATACAATAGATTCAAAATGTCTGAGGATTACCACAGATCTTTACAGCTGATTGATTGGTTATTTGCTGGCCATTTCACTTGAAAAATATCCGTAGACGATCACTATTAACCAGCAAACAGGAGTAGGATGTATCCTCTACGCTCGAGGCATCATTACTGAAATTCACACCACACCTTTGGGCAAACTTCTCAGATATGGAACTTTAAGATGCCTCTAACCTGCTAAATAATAGATGTCGAAAATGCACTTTTATCGCAAAGTAGTATTTACTTTATCTAACCTAAATATCTAAACACGCGTTTTTCACACAAACAGATTATAAAGAGCATATGAAAAAGAGGGAAAAACAATTAAATAATATCGAATTAGACAAACAATGAAGCAATAGCAAAAGAAGCTATATTTTTATAGTTTCAGGTGAATGCTTTTGGATTCTATTAGATATTCAAGTAAATGTATTATACAGTAGTAGATCTCGCCCTTTCATAGCAAGCATTGACACAAAAAATTATTGGGCTTGTTCCCATCGCCGTGCTGTTGTATAACAATCAATTAGGAGTTAGCCCAGAAAGCTTGTGAGCCTTAAAGTTTCGTGATTTTATAACCAACTCAATCTTTGTTGGCAGTTTTCCAAACTCGTTGGATTTTCTAGATGAAAAATAGAAAAAAAAATAACAAGCAAAAACTAAAGCCCCTCTCTCTGTGACCTAGTCATACGTCGGTCCAGTTTGTGGATAAATTGCAAGCGCAGTTCACGTCTCACTTTTACGTTGTTGTATTGGCGGACTTCATACATCGAGTGTATCACCTCCCCTGGGCTGTCCTGTCTATAGGCGAAATTTCAGGTGCAGGCCAATAAAAGCGAACGGTCCGGCGACATTCTCCTCACGTCGTCTTATTCGACGACACCTGGAGAGGAAAAAAAGGGTTTCAATATAACGCTCGTTGCATTATGCTAACCTACCGTTAGGTTTTCTCTAGGGGACGGACTCTAAACCCTTGTTCGCTTTCTACCCACTAGTGCAAGACGGGTTGACGAAATATCTAGATGCAAGATCGATACTTCCTGCTTGTCCACACGTACTTGTATTTTAGTGTATAGGTAAGTCATAGTAACGGCAGTGACATTGTGACACCTTCTATCAACAGACGACTCGAGACTCAACGGAACTTGGCGTTAGCTCGAGGGAGCGTACTTTGTTTTTTGACTGTTCGAATATTAGTTTGAACCATGTAGAACCGGTACAGCGGTGCTCGTAACTGCCACACGAGGCGGAGATATCCAAGAGCTAGCAGCATAAGGTTGCATCTTCGAAGTGATACAACAGAAATTTATGTCTACGTTTTCTCCAAATATAATATCTATTCGTTTTGTGTGGTCAAACATTTGCCCATCTTTTTTGCCTTTTGATTATAAACGGGGATCTGAATTGTTTGTGGCTACGTTACGTACAGAATTCGGCATCCATCACTGTGTTATGCTGCTTAAAATGCACGTTAGGTGTTGTAACTGTTGGCGTATTAAAAATCGTGAAAATGTGTTCCTTACGCTTTCTTCAGGACACTATTGCTTGTAACGTTGCATGTCACCCACCTTTTAGTAACATTGCCATTTCTATACGTATATTTAGCTTTACAAATTAGATGCACAAGCCATATCCCATATATGAGCGCGTTGGATCATTTCTACTGCATGTATGTATGCGTGTTTCGCTACCGCTCTCATAACACGGGCATCGTCGTTCCCACTGATGTCATCCTCGTGAATGAGTACCGCTGCCCTCAGTCCGCGTAACGTCCCGGTATACCTCGCTTTGTCTGTAGCCAAGTGGAGCGCCTGTGAACAAAAGAAACAGACTGAGTGAGAATAAAAGAGAACAATGTAGGAGGAATAATTCGGCAATCGTCCGAAATTCGAGAACTCTCACACATTCGTCTGCCAACGAAGCGGAGAGGATCCAGTCAGTATTTCGAGTCTGAACTGCAGCTACGGCAGAGAGAGCTAGAGAAACAGGGGCTATTAGGCTGCTACACACGTAGTCCTCGTTTTAGGGGCAAGAGTACGAACGTGTTTCTCCATCTTTCGTTTCGTTCTTAGGTAGCTTCCATGAACCGAAAAAAGCTAGACTCCAGACTCTGTTCTTCTTCGTTCTTTTTAGGAGCTTCTTCCTTCTGCATGTATTTGCTTTCCATCTCCTTGTTTTCTTTTTGTTTCTCTGATGAATGCCAACAACGTCTCCCCATGCTCTTTCAGCCCCCGTCTGTCTTTGCCCGTGCTTCTCGGTTTCTTCCTATGCACCCATCGCCAATAGCTTAGGCAAGACGATAGCAGGTTGAGAAACAGCTTGCTTTTGGCTGAATACACACACGTGACAGCGTCGTGTCGTGACCCTTTCTGCCTCATGATCTCCGTTAGAACGTACGGAGACGACGACAAGATTGGACGTTGACACTGCGGAGTCTCACTGAGTACAAACGTAACAGTATACATTTTCAGCTTTCGTGTGCAGTCTTTATGGTCGTATCTAAGCATACCAGAAACAGCATGAGTAATAGTAGCATTGTCGAAAACACGTTTTATTCGCGCACACTTTGTGAAAGATGACGCACTCTAAAGTTCCTTTTTTAAAGCGCTGCCTCTGCTACTGTCATCGTCGCTTCCCTAAAGCTCACCCAGCGGGTGATATTAGGGACAAAGTCCGCTTCGATATGTGTGTGCTTGTACCAATGTACAAACGTACACCTGATATCTACAGAGAAGAATGACATACCGGCATAGGGCAGACCAAAGGAACGAAAGTAAAGTCACCGATGTAGCACAGTACCTACAGAGCGACGTCGTCGCTCTAACGACGATGACGGCACTATCCCAGATCTTGGTAGTGTTTTTTCTGCGGGAACATACCTAGCAGGCGAGCGAAATGACCTCAAACGTTAGCCATTAGAGAGGCGATAACAGTGAGAGGTGACCTGGGCAGGCCTAACACCTACGTTGTTTTTGGTCGTTCCTTCGTTCTTCAGTTCGGGTCCTTCACGTTTTCCCATTCTCACGTCCAGTCCCAATCGCAAGCCGTCTCCCGTTCACCAGATGATGGTAGGCGGTCGCTTGCAAGCAGCAGCTGGGGAAAACTCTGTTGCCTGTTTCTTGTCCCTGTTCGTCTTTTTTGCCTGTCGAGAGAGGCGTCGCTGCCGTTGTCGTTCTTTTTGCCGGTTCCGCTCCTATTGTAATTCGAGTAATGGCGCCGAATTTCAAATTGTACTCAGACCTTTTAGCGCTTTCGGCGATGTGACCAAATGATGCTAAAGCAGCGTCGACCGATGGAGTGACCGGCTATTCCGTGGACGAAACGTCGGCTTAACGCTACCTAGCGTACCGATAGGATGGTTGCTCTTCGGCTGAACTCGGCATTTGAATTAAAAGAAAAAGCAGGAGGGACTTTCTATCGCGGGGCGACCGACTCACGAAGAGGATAACCCGAGACACTGCACGGTCATAATAGCACGCAGACAAAAGTCAGGATTTAGGCTTTAATTCAGCAACAATATACAGCGAGGGAAGGTCATCTCAATCGATCTTGGAACTAAGGCAGAACGTAGTCGCACTCGACTTACACACATCATTGATTCGCACAAAGATTCGATACGTACGCAAAACATAAGCGGAGACGGCTTTTAAATCGAAGGTTCTTTTTAACGCTATGAAAGTTTCACATAAATATGTGATCATACCCCCACCCGCTGCCTTTCAAATAGTTTTATCTCAGGGTTTAGTTTTCGATATTAACTTTTTTTTGCGTTCAAGTATCTGTGACTGTGATCGATTGATCAGCGGAGCAGGTGCACCTAATTCTTTTGGAAACTGTCGTCGAATTCTAGAAAAAAAAATATTAAGATTATCGTTTTTATCACTCTTTCCTTTTTGTTAGATAATCTAACTAAAACAAGCAGAGCTAGCTGAAATCAACGATAAAGGGTCGAGCAATCTCTCTTGTGTGCTTTGCAAATAAGTTATTAGAAGTGAAGCCTCTTGAAATGTTAGATAGCCTATAAATATGGGCATTTTTTCATGATATCGCTCATACGAAAGCTTAGCACGCTTAGTATAATATGTTTCCGAATATCCATGCATCGATGCCTTATTATATTGCCTTCAAATAAAATTGACCAAAGCCTTTTCTGAAACTTATAATTACCTCTTCTTACATATCCGTAGAATTCTAAGCGTGCTCTTTTGAATTTGATGTTTTTGATCTCAATGAGAACATTTTCGTTTTTTCAGCTTGTGATGTGACAATTTTGCGTTCTCTTTTCAATGCGTACATTAGATGTTGAAACATTTTTTGGTCTGTTGAGATGGATACTTATTAAAGGACACTTCAGTTTCTTTACCTCTTTGTTCCTCAAGCGGCAGGCTGATATCTGGAGAAGACAGATTTCAATGAATACGTGACCACAAACCGCGCAGGTCATTCGTTTTGTATTTAAAGGCACATTTCCTGTTCACGTTGTGGAAACAGTTTTCTATCGTGTGTCCATTGCAGTACCTTCGTGACACTTACGCACGCACAAATTATGCTCGAACAAGCGAATTATGAATGTCAAACAGCGTACATAGAGCAAACAAAGCTCTAAATCATAACATACATGCAGACAGAACGCAGGTCGTTAGCAGACTTCCAATTTTATCTAAGTATTTGCTATACTGTTAGCTCAGAACAAGGCACCATGGTCAAGTGGATAATGGAACGAGCTTTATATAAATTTCACACATTGCGATACCATTTGCGCTCGTTTAGGCCAGTTCTGATTGTACAGTATACTGTATTAACTTCCCCTACATATTCATTGCCTTTAAGGAACAGAATGAAATGGTCCAGTGCTGCATGAACAAGGTCACGTGTATCATGAAGCTGCAAAATGGCTTACATCAGTAAGCTGTTATACCGGTTACACCAATATAAAACAGGTTATACCAGCCGGTCGAAGAATTATAAACGCCCTTTAAGCCAAAATTGAGGTAAATATTATTTATATTTTAAAGTCATGTTACTTAATTAGATATGCTTCATTTTGATCGACGATCTTATGCCATTTTTTTGGGAACATTATAATCCCGTCATTGTTGAACTGTGGTTTCTCGACGAAAAACTGAGACGGGTGATCGATCCATTAAAATAAAATATAACATAGTCCAGAAAGTTCTACAAAAACACGAACAAAAAATAACCTGTCCTGTACGACAAATATTATAGATTCTTTCTTACATATTACTTGTGCATGATTCACTTTTATCACCCGGGATAAATCATTTTTTAGTTGCAAATGGCTTGATTTTATTTAAGCTTAGATAAAACTGTGCAGACTGACATACGACAGAGTAAACTCCTTTGCGTCAACTAACGTCGTATTCAGATGTCGCGCATCTTTTGATAGCCAACTTACTTCAAATGGTTTAAAGTTATTTAACGATGGATGTTTAGTTTCTTGACGATGTCATAGTTATTAGGGTATCTATCTTACTCAAATCTCACAATAACTTGCTACAAGGAGTACCTATCATATCAAAACTTTTATCATTTTAATTTTAAATATAATATACATTGAATATAATATAGCATTTTAAATAATAATGAAATTTACAAAACTATTACCAGTATGCTGTATCTTCTGATACCACATTCTGACCATAAACAGCCATACAGTATCATGGCAGCCTTTGTCCTGAAAGTATAACGAATCTTTACGTACACTTTATAGGACATTTACGGAGTTATATGTCAAGTATGAATGAAAGCATCCTAACAGTTATTGTGCATCTGCTACTGCCAAACCTCAACTTTCGAACGATGCCAGCGCTGACCCCACGCAACGGATATTACCTGAGATACTGAACTTTACCGGAGCCACCTAGGTACAAGAACAATGAAACTTTCTTTGACAACCCAGTATTTTAATGCATAGGTATATAGCATTTTATAACTGCTTGACGCGACTATATTTTATTTTTATTTTCAACTATAAAATTATTGTTTAGATGTATTTTTTTCTCATACTTTGAAGACGACCGACAATCTTTGAAATACCTATCACAATCAATAGAAATCCTAAATATTGCAACCTTGCCTCTTGGGAACACTGAAATTCTGCCTACGCAATCGGATCAATGCAGGTATTAAACCTTGCGCTTCGACCCCATAAGATTACGCCGCTGTCGTTTATGGGAGCAGCATAACCTTATGACAGCTCAACCCGTGTTTCATGTTTCTACTATATAATGCATACTTTGGAATTACTGAAGCTAATCAAAACTTTAATTTATTATACTGGACAAATCTCTATCCAGAGCTACATACATCAATTTCTTTAGTGTTTCAATACTTCCAGGCTACGCAATTGTGAGATAGGGGTTCGCCGATACGTTTAGGGGTAAGCAATATATTCCACTATAGACGGATAGTAACCTTTCAGTTGGATAAAACATAAGAAAAGAAACCAAATGAAGGAAAAATTAAAATAAAGAAAAAAGCTAGTTCATATGTTAAGGAACATCAGTTTGCATGAGATTCAACATGAGATGTAACTTCTATTCATCAAATGTCGATAAAGACGTTATTTACAGCGTCAAGGTGAAACGGATATTTAGTTTGTAATGGCATACCGAAATTACTTGAGCTTTTACGGTGCGTATACGATTCACATATATATACTGACTAAAGTTTTATGGCACGTGTTGTCATAAGTTGCGACCTTTAGCAGTCAAATTAACAGTGACGAGCCGTGACTCCACTCGAGGAAAACTTATTTTCAAGGATCGATCCCTATTCTAGAAGCACGTTGTATATCGGGTTTTTTTTTTGTTTTATTGAGCTATGGGCTAACGCATTTATTTACACAAGACTCCACATCCAAAACTATTTTGGTCTGCTTGGGGGCCAAAAGGGCCCAAGTGTGGGGCTCATTCACCTGTTTGCAGATGGATGAAACCGTACTGAAAAGTAAAAAGTACATCTTATGTTATAGAGATAAACCATACCATATAGATAAAAGCGTGCTACTAAAAGACGCTATTTTATTCTCTTTAAGGAAGATAGAAGTTTTACCATTAATGATTAGGGCCTAGTCCCTCTGCGCCATCCAATCTTGCGAGGTTGCCCCCTTGTGTAAATATGTTTGCCATTTCGCTGGGTTGGTGTTGCATTAAAGTCCCCACTTATCGAAATCCTTTTATGCCTCTATGCCTGCCATGCATTTGCACATTCCTTTCTGGGTCCACGGGGAACTTCGTAAATTCTTCATCAGGTTTGTAAAATTCCATGCAGATTTACAGCCATTTCATTCGATGTTATCAGGCAAAGTAGTTTTTTTGTTTAACCTAAATCTTTTAGTTGTTAGCTCTTTCATCCGAGGATGCAACATCTCAAGCTACAAGCATATTGATTCATGAAACACATACTGCATAGCAATTTTACCTCCAAATGATTTGAGCTTCAATTGAATTATTGTTTGGAAACAGTATCTAAAGGTTTCCATTGACACTGAGTAAGAACATTTGCAGAAACATTCAGAAAGCGTTTGGCAAATTGTACAGTTCTATAAATCTGTTTCGAAGTAAACTTATCTTTTCCTACTCCCTTTGGTCCCGTAGCTATATAGAAACACGTATTTTAAAAGATAGCAGAAGGAGTGAAAATCCGCAAAAGAGCTTAGTGGTGGCCGTCAAACCTGGGCTCAAATTTTGAAGAGCAGGGGGATTTTAGTTCCAGGACAAAAAAATGTGTGATTTCATGGCTCTTTCTTTTTTTGTTTCTTTTTTATTCTAAATATGCAATGCTGTCTAAACGGGCTGCTTCGGAAGAAAATATTAATCGCTTGATCTTCAAAATTGTTGAAATTTGGTTATTGTTCAGACTCCAGTGCGGTACACGGGAACTCTTAAGAAACCAACGACTATTCACAGTTATCTTCCATATAATCTAATGGTAATATGTGCAAGTAAAATCATGCGTCAGGCCAAAAGCGTTGACTCATTTCCCATCCAAACAAGAAACATCAGTCTTTCGTCTCCTTAAAGCCCCCAAGGGATCACCGATCCGATAGGTCTTGCAGAGGTGTGAAAACACAGTGGGCCATTCAGTGCAATTATTTATTGAAACAATAGAAGAATAGAGCAAGATCGAGAGAAGATAGAGCCAAAGCATTCATCTCTCAGATCTAGGAGTTAATAGTCAACCGCATACATCTGCGCATAAACACACTTGCCGTTGGCTACACAGGAATATGTGAACTACCTGTCGAACGTGCCGCATCTAAACGAGAAATTGTTGCGGTAGCAACGTTTCTGTCTCTCGTTAAAACGTGTCTGCGGACACAGTCGCTCAGCTTGTAGCTTGATATCGAATGACTTTAATAAACTTTCTTGCATGAGTAAGTCGAAGGGGTTGGCGAAGCCGTTTCACGTAACCTAGCCTTTCCTTGAAAAGGGGGTAGACCTTGAGGGTAACTGTATTTCTCAGGAAAGCTTCCACCTTGGCTTATTCGAGAGGAATTCTACAAACGACAACGGCTTTGTCATGTTACTCTTACTAACCTGGTTACATGTTATAGTAAATAAAAAACGATAACAGCGTATGCACTTGTCCGTATACAGTAAAAAGATTCTTAGCAAAAGAAAAAGAAGTGTAAACTGGTTCTCATAAAATATCGACGTCTGTGGAAGTTTTCTTATCCGGGTAAACATTGCATTTCATAGCATTACGTACTACTGGCCACCTCGGTCGATTATCGAGGTAATGGCAACAGGTGGTTCATGGAAGCTACGTTCTTCACCTGAGGCTTTAGTCCCCGCTTTTACCCATATAGAGATAGAGCAATATCTGTAGTATTGATTTTGCAGTTCGATCGTGTACTCGTAGAATAACGTGAGAAGTAAAGGTTACACGTAGGGTATGAGCGCTGCTAAATTGAGCTGTTCCAAGTGAGAAGTTCTATTAACAATAGAGAGGTCGCTTAGTGATCTAATCTTTTCAGAACCCTGAAACGGACAATCGTTATCGTAAAACATCGGCCTAATAGAAAAATTCTACTACGCGTATCATATCTAGCGCAGGCACACTGTCACCAGCGTAATAAAGATCGCTAAGGAAATTATAGATGTTTTGAGTAAATGTCATCAAAAGACAAAAAGGATCCGTATTTTAAGCCATACGAACTTAACCTTACCCCATTTGTACAACAACACCAATTTGAATAACCTCTACAGGGAAAGGATAAGGACCCCCCTACAGAAAATGAACGAGATATTTTAATGTAATGAAAGTCCTGATAAATCGAAGCTCAGTGTATGCAGGCACTGCTGGTAAAACTCAACTAATCTGGTATTGTGCATGCGAATAAATGGCTTTACGCCCTTTTTTGATGACGGCAGAACAGGGCTTGATAATTTGGTCATCTGAAGTGCCTCCTGCTCATTTAAAAAAAAGGTCAACATTTTAGGTTAAACATGCGAAGAGTAATATGTCCATCTGAACCTCCTCTAGTGTTTGTTCCAAAATGAACTTCGTATTGGATTTATGAGCGATCTGATAGGTTTGTCAACAATAGTGAAAGGTCAAAAACTAAGACCGTTTAGACTCCTACGTTGCCTTTGTCTGACAGTTCGGAGAATAATGATACCTTGATCAATAATCTAATGCAAAAAAATATAATTTTATTATGCAATATGTATCACCAAATAGTACAATTTAAAAAAAAATATTATTATTGATATCTATAAAAACAAATAAAAAATCAAAGCTACAAAAAGTGAAATTATGTCATAAATGCTTATAGTTATACATCCTGATCTGCTCACTGATCTATGCCAAGGCTAAAATAATAACAGATAATATAAATGCAGTAGCGGATAAAACGGTAACATATTCCTGTGAGCAAAACAACGCACCTTTTCGGTATGCACTAACACGTTTGTTCCCTAAAATTGTTTGTGCATAGAGATTTTAAAAAACGGCTGTAGGTCGTGTTTCTCTGTACGTTATGAAAATACAGAACAAAGGACGTTTGGCCATTACGATGTTTGCTTGAGGCAGAGGCTCTTAGCAGCAATGCTCGGCTTCAGAACAGACGAGGAACAGATAGCCTAACAATGATTTGATCTGATATCTTGACATCCAATAAAGTCTCTTGATAATGATAAGTTGAATAAAAGGCCCAACTGGGCTCCAATCGTTAGTAATAACAAAATGCTTTAGACCAGCGCCCGTTTTTTTTTTTTTTTTTATAAGAAGCATTTCAACAATCAACTATTAAACTAAAAAGACGCCCCACTTTAATAACTAGTGCATAGTAGCCAGTAATGTACGGGATAAGAAAAGAGCATCTTTATTGATCCCTTGATACCAATTCGTTTGATTATATTATTCTGGCGGCTGTTCGAGCTAGAAGCATCGTTCGAATAGTGTTCGCTGTTTCTTTTTTTTGGATGTAGGAGAACAAATATCATACTGGTAGAAATAAAGACATATATATATTCGATGGCAAGAGTTACTACTACTACTACTACGGATTGACTCTCAATGGAACAGCTAAGGTCTGGCTTGTTGCAATGAGGCCAGTCAGGGTAATTCCTGTCCCTTAGTAGTAATAACTGGACGTTCAACGGCAAGTTCCGCGTCTGAAAAGTATCATAGGCCCTTAATTGAGCTAGTTAAATGAAAATTATTTCACTAGGTTGGCAAAGGAGCCCAAATATCGTCATGGTCCTGAAAACTTTCAGATGACGCCGACAGTGTAGCTAGTGTACGAGTTGGCATTGTAGGAGTTTCGCTAACGTTTTGAGTTGAACTTAATTTTATCTACTCTATGGTACAGCTTAGTTTTTTAGGTACATAGAAGCAGCCATAATTGTATAGGTGGAAGTCCGTACCACAATACGGGGGGCAGTGAGACCTTAATTACAGCATTACCTGGATGCTATTCACGTCGCTTATCCTCAAATTTCTTCTGAAATTTTGTTTCCTATGGCAACATGAGCAAGGGCTGGGTTAACGATTTTTATACTAATTCTTGTTACAGCTTTAGATGATTTTTGTTACCAGTCTGGCTGGCCGTTCCATATATGGAAGCTCCATTTCGTTGGGGCTTCTTTCTTTCTTTCTTAAAAGGACTGTAGAAACTGATTCGTGCTTTGCATGATAGTAACAAAACTGGGTGAAAGATTCTTATACTTAGTATAATAACCTTAGAAGTTAGACGTAGAAGCGTTCACAGGCTTTTCCGTTTTCGCTTAAATATCTTTTTGAAGAGTGCGATTTTGGCCAAATCCCCCTATACGCAGTTTCCTTGAAATGTCATGTTTGTAGCCTAGGGTAGAAGGAATAGCAACCCGCGTTAGTCGATACCTGCTCGAAGAATTGTGCTTGCGTTGGCCAAAGGATTGATTCACCTTTTCAGTACATGAGTTTGGCAAGGCAAAATGGACTCCTAGACGCCCTTTGACATCAAAATAGCCCCAATATCGTGTCCGTGTTGAAGCCAGGTTCCTATACCATCTGT